CGTGATCCCAGGGTCCTGGGATCGAGCCCCGCATCGGGCTCCCTGCTCAGCGGGAGCCTGCTTCTCTCTCTCCTCCCTGCTCATGCTCTCTTCTCGCTATCTCTGTCTGTCTCTCTCTCAAATAAATAAATAAAATCTTTTAAAAAAACTAAAATAAAATAAAATGATTCCCGGGGCGCCTGGGTGGCTCAGTCGGTTAAGTGTCCGACTCTTGATTTCAGCTCAGGTCATGATCTCAGGGTCGTGAGATCGAGTCCCATGCTCAGTGTGGAGCCTGCTTAAGATTCTATCTCTCCCTCCACCCCCCACCCCAGCACTGGCTCTCTCTCTCTCTTAAAAAAAAAAAAATTCCAAATGAAGATTTCCGTTTAGCCAGCCCACAGGAAGGGCAGCTCAGCCTGCTCATGGTGCTCGTAACCTCAACCTTGGTTAGCTGGGCATCAGAAAGGATTCCAGGCAAACTGGGGGACTTCCGGCAATCCATGACCCAATTCCTGTTCTTTTCTGCCTTGGCTTACCTTCTTCCTGTCTTCTCAACTCCTACTGCTCCTCCTTGCCTTTCTTACACTAACAGTCTCTCCCTTTCCTCTCCTTTACAGGTAGTTTTCCATGTTGGCATATAATACTTTCCTGAAGACATGTAGGAAAGTTAAACCTGAACAGTTCATTCATCTATTATACATGAAGTTCAGTTTGCATAAAGCTAGACACCATTATAAAATCCTTAATTACATCTTGTCTTTGAGACACAGCCCGAGTCTATATTTCTGGTGGTTTTTTTCATGCTTTTTCAGTTTTTTTCTTTCATAATTACACACACAATCAGTTTATGTCCGCAGAGCATCTGATTGAAGCTTAAGATCCTCATACTTTCTCCTTACCTGATAATTTCCATCTTTGTTTCAAGCGACAGTTGAATTGAGTTAAGTTCATCTGATCCATGCTCCTGATTACTGGCAGTAGCACCTTGGGCTTCTCTCTCTGTTCCTGTTATTTTTGACCAGATATGGGGGAAATGCAATAAATTATTGAAATAGTTTCCCAAGCAGGTGTTGTTGAGCAAAGATGGCAAAATCGCTAAAAGTGACTGGGCAGCCATCCACCAAAATGTATGTTCAGCAGTCAATGTAGCCAAATTGTGCACGAGAGAGGCATTGGGGGATGCCAGTGCTTACCCAGCTGGGTAGGACCAAGGTCAGCGACCCACTGGGCTGAAGAACACTTTGTCCCCAGAAATTGGATCATTCCCATGTCAGACCACACACTCTTGGAACATCAATATTGAATCGAGCCTGCTGATGGCATGAGAGAGAAGATGTCAAACAGAAATAAGACTTGATATTGGTCTGTGTGGTCCTTGTGGCCCATTTGGGGAGACCAGACCTTGAGAAATAGAGAACTAAACCAACCAGCCTACCCCTAAGAGGTCAGAAATGGGTGTTCCAGGCGGTCCAGGAGTGGATAGGGGGTGCTCATGGAAGGCTTCCTGGAAAAACTGGTCCTGGATCAGGACCTTGAAGAATTTAGGAAGCTTAAGGAATGGGAACAGCAGATGTTCCAGATGGAGAAGCCCACGGGAGGAGATGTGATGTGCCTTAAGGGCACTAAAGTCAGATAGTGCTGGACCAGTCCCAGCTCCATCACTTCCTCCGTGCACGATCTGACCAAGGAGACCAAGCATCTGAAGTTCTTCCACAGTTAGCTTGGCCGAGTGCTCAACAGTGGGAGCTGTTAATGGTTTCATTTATTATCACCTTAGGCATCTCAGGGGCTCAGTTCTTACTTAGTGTTCTCATGTCAGCTCATCTTTCCGAGGGCATGCAAGCCCTGCCTCACTCACCCTCTTTCCCCTCCATTTCCTCCAATAGTATTGGTGTTAGTCTCTTCAGGCTGCTATTGCAACAATACTACAGATGTGGGGGGGGGGGGTGCTGATAAACCACAGAAATGTATTTCTCCCAGTTCTGGAGACTGGAAGTCCAAGATCAGGGTGCCAGCCATGGTTGGGTTCTTGGTGAGAGCCCGCTCCCTGGTTCACAAATGGCCCATCTTTGTGCTGTGTCCTCACATGGTGGAAGGGGTGAGAGGGCTCTCCAGCATCTCTTTTATCAGGGCACTCCCACTTAAGGACCTCCCAAATGTCCCACCTCCTAATATGATCACATTGGGCGTTAGGATTTCAACATAGGAACTTTGAGGGGACACAAATATTCAAACCATAGCAGAAGGCATTGGTGTCTTCTGGGGGATTCTCACCTCCTATTTCAAAGAGCTTATAAAATAATTCACCTAACAAAAGAAATCAGTGAAGGATGCTGAAGGCTGTCTGCTGCTAAAAACAACAAATGGAGATGGATGGATAGATAGAGAGATAGACACACAGAAATTTCCATTCGATCATTAACATGTTCCCTGAGCACTGTGTTGTGTGTATGGCACCAATGAACTCATTGAATCCTCACATCAAAATGGCACTGGGGCAGACCCTTCTAGTAGCTTACTCCACAGCCACGACTAATCCCTTTGCCTGTTGCCTGTGTAAGAAGTTAAGAAAGCTAGATTTCACTTTCCAGCCTCCTTTGCAGCTCCCACTGGCCATAAAACCCAGTTCGGCCAATTGGATGTAAGGGGAAGTTTGTAAGGGGCATCTTGGAAATACTCTCCTCCCTGATCAATGGACACGGGCATGTGGAGAAGGCCCAGTTTCCATCACTGCCTTTCCTTCTTGGCTTGTAGTCATGTGGGGACGTGGTCCTTGGAGCTGCGGGAAGACCCTGGAGGAAGGTAATGGCGTACCCAGTGCCCGGACATCGGCGAGCCTGGAAAATGCCATTGGCCAAGCTCAGGAGGGTGGGCAAGGGAGGTGAGAGCCAATGGACGAACAACAGGCACACTCCACTCAAGTAGTTCCCAAACCCTGAGGAACAGATTCCACTGGGCAAGGGATTCCCATTTTTGGCTTCCACATGGCATTAAAAGGTAAACGTTAGTGGGTTGAAGAAGTTATGATGAAGTAATAGTTATCAGCCTTGGGCCTAACACCTAACGAATAACTCACTTCATTTTTTATTTATTTATTTATTTTTTATTTATTTGCGAGAGAGAGAATGAGAGACAGAGAGCATGAGAGGGAGGAAGGTCAGAGGGAGAAGCAGACTCCCTGCTGAGCAGGGAGCCGGATGCGGGACTCGATCCAGGGACTCCAGGATCATGACCTGAACCGAAGGCAGTTGCTCAACCAACTGAGCCACCCAGGCGCCCACGAATAACTCACTTCAAAACAGGACTATGTTGCTGTACCCTTTGTGTTGCCATAAAGCGTGTCTGCTCTCGTTGGCTTCGTCTGAATGGCCGCTGTCCAGAGGCTGCCGCCTTGTCCAAAATGCCCACTCTTAAATTTCCTTTGTCTTGAGCCATTGGTAGCAAATCAAAGCAGACATGTTTATTCTTCTTAATTTTGTGTTTGTGGAAGAAATTAGTAGTCCGTTCCAGAAGCACTCAGACTTCTGGCACTCTGAATCATCCTCGACACGGTTCTCCAGGCAGTCATATTCAGGGAGCTGCTTAATAGATATCGTTTGAACTAAATCTTTGCGTCTCTCCCAAATTCATGTTGAAACCTAACCCCCAATGTGATGGTATTGGGAGGTGGGGCCTTTGGGAGGTGATTAGTTCAGGAGGGTGAAGCCCTTATGAATGGGATTAGTGCCCTTCTGCAAGAGGCCCCTCCAGAGCTCCCTAGCCCCTTCCCCCTTATGAGGATACAGTGAGAAGTCTGTGACCCCAAAGCTGGCCCTCCCCTGACCATGCTGGCCCCCTGATCTTGGACCTCCAGCCTCCAGAACTGTGAGAAATAGATTTCCGTTGTTGGAAAGCCACCCGGTGTATGGTACTTGGTTACAGCAGCCTGAAAAGACTAAGACACTTTCTAAAGGAGAGTGATCTGTTCCCTGGAGGCCTTTGGTTTGCGGAGTGGGCTCTGTAAGTTCAAGACCAGAGCTGAATTTTCCAGGAAAGCAAAAGATTTTGGAGATGGTATGCAAGAAAAAAAATTAGTAGGGTAAGTAAGGACTGGCAGCAAAAGGAGGGCTTTTGAGAAAAAACAAAAATGTCTAGTGGAGATTTTCATTAAGTTGTTTGATGGGCGCAATGTGGTATAAACCTCTTTCTTTTTCTTCATGATATTGTCAATCGAGTCCACCTTGTTTGCTCGTGCTTTTGAGGCAGATTTATTTTTTTATTTTTTTATTTTTTAAAGATTTTTTATTTATTTATCTGAGAGAGAGAATGGGAGACAGAGAGCATGAGAGGGGGAGGGTCAGAGGGAGAAGCAGACTCCCCGCTGAGCAGGGAGCCGATGCGGGACTCGATCCCGGACTCCAGGATCATGACCTGAGGCGAAGGCAATCGCTTAACCAACTGAGCCACCCAGGCGCCCCTTGAGGCAGATTTAAATCTTTCGGATGAATAGCAGTGCTGAGATCTGCCTTGAACTGGCATGAATCCAATCCAGAGGTGCCTCTGGCAGGGCAGTCACATATGGGTGATGTAATTAAAGAAGGAAAAAGCGGGGTTGCATCAGACCCTCAATTTACTGTGGTCCAGGAAGGTTAAGAAGGATTGCTTTCAGTTTGCAACTCTGTCCTATGAAAAGAAGCAAGGAATAACCCACTTACTGCGTTCCTTACGTTTGCAGCTGGGAAGAGAATGTCTTTGTGTATGACCTTGTCAACAGCTGTGTGCCTGGGATCCCAGCCGACGTCTGGACAGGGCTTCATGATCACAGACAGGTAAGGAAGCCGTGACTACCAGGTGCTGCTGGAAGCTCCCAACCAAGACGCTGTTTCGATTTAGCCAACCTTGTGCATGGAACCTCTATGCCAGGTCACTGCTGCGTGCCCAGCACACGGAGAGAAATCAGACACCGAGATGCCCCAGTTAGAATACAGTGGTGTGAATGAGCCTATGATGGGAACATAGTATGGTCAGGGGAGGCCTTTGTTTGGGTCTGAGTTCTCGAAAAAGCAGACACAAAAATATGATTAGATGTGCAAGAGATTTCTGAGGGGAAAAAGCTGTGAAGAAAAAAAGAGGAGGGGGCATAAGGAGGCAGGGAAGGTCTCCGGACAGCGAGGTGGGTCTGAGACCTGGGAGGGGCGCGGGGGAAGGAAGACCAGGGAGGAAGAGCCTCTGATTATAGCAGAGTTCTGAGAAGGACTTGGCTAGGCCCGTGGGGAGTCCACAGGCAAAGGAGGGCCAGGAGAGGAAGCCCACATGGGGCAGGAATGGGCCAGCACTAGCACCCCTGAGTTCTTGCTGAGTCACTGACAGGGCACAGCCTGGAGGAAGCCCGGTCTCACTGTGAATGCTGGGATGAATCCCAAGGGGCAGGGGAGCTGAGGCAGTCAGTCAGCCATGTTCCCTGTAGCCGGTCCTCCTAAAGGAGCTCCAGGCAGTGTCCTTCCGTGGCTGCCACAGCCTCCCTAGGTTAGAGACATTTAAGCTACTATCTAATGGATAAATAGTCAGCCAGAGGAAGAAGCATTCCAGGGAGAGGGAACAGCATGGGCAAAAGGCCTAAGGTGTGAGCACTTCTGACCCATTCGAGGGCGTTAAAGACCAGTGGGTCGGGGATGCAGAGCGGGGCAGTGGTCAGTGGATTCATGGTGAAGGGTTAGGCCAAAACGGAGAGCTGACGCCAGATCTTATACCTGGTGATATCACCGCAGACCCCACCTGGAAGTTTTGTCCCCAGACTTTCCCGGGCCCCGGTTCCCCCTCCCGTCCTGCGGCTGACTGGGTGGTAGGTGACTTCGGGCATTTTTTTTTTTTTTTTTAACCTCTCTGAGCTTCAGTTTCTTCGTAGTGCCTTGTTGTAGAAAGTCAGTGAGCTTAGCCTGGTGCTTGGAGCACGATCACGGCTCGTTTAGGCTGGCTGGGGCTGTTATCAGAGTGGCAGAGGTAACCATACTGACCAGACTCGACAGAGATACATCTTTTAAACCCATAGAATTCAGCTGGCAAGAAACTATATAGAAGTTGTCATTAAAAAAAAAAAAACAAAAAAACCCGACAACATTTCTATTTGTAATAGTAACTTTAAAATGGGGCCATGGTGAGGGGGGAGGGTGCGCCTGGGCGGCTCAGTCGGTTAAGCGTCTGGCTCTTGGTTTTGGCTCAGGTCGTGATGTCAGGGTCCTGAGATAGAGCCCCAGGTCAGGCTCCGTGCTCATCGGGGAGTCTGCTTGAGGATTTTCTCTCTCCCTCCGCCCCTCCCCGCTCTTGTACGCATGGGCTTTCTCTCTCTCTCTCAAATAAATAATATTAAAATAAAATGGGATTATAGGGGTGCCTGGCTGGCTCAGTCAGAAGAGCATGCAACTCTTGATCTTGAGGTCGTGAGTTCAAGCCCCTCATTGGGCATAGAGAGAACTTAAATAAGCTTATATATATATATATATACACATATATACATATAAATAAAATAAAATGGGATGATGAACACACTTAATTGGGGTTTAAGGAACTTGTATTACAAGATTTAAGAATAATAATAACAAACAGTACAGTCAAAGGGCTTGTTTTTTAAACTTTTCTTTTCAGGGCCAGGCACTGTGAGCCCTTTGCGTGCTTTACTTCGTCAGCCCTCACAATAGCTTTCTGGGGGAGATATTAGCCCCGTTGTAAAGGTGCGGAAACAGACCCGAGAGGTTAAGCCCCTTGTCCAGACTGCAGGGAAGAAGAGGGTAGAGCTGGACAGGCAAGCTCGAGAACTCTCTCGTAGAGGCGGCATGCTATTTCCATTATCTGACGCCCCCTCCGTAATCATCAGTGCTTCGGGGGAGACTTTTCTAAGAACTTGAATAAATGCAGAAACGGCTTGTGTTCCAGAACATTGCAAAGATGTAGTTCTCCCCACAGTTAATTTGCACATTTATTTTAACACCAATCACATTCCCAACAGGCGTTTTCTTGTAATTGGACAGAGCGGTCCCACCTCGGGCAAGAAGAATACACACTATGTTGGACAAAAGGAAAGAAATGAAGGGTGACCCCTGCCCACTGGTAAATTAAAAAAAAAAAAAAAAGTGGAGTAGTAGGTACGGTCTTGGGTACTGTAGTCACAGACGTGGGTTTGAATCCCAGCAGGAAGGCTCTATGAGCGGTATGAATTTGGCTGGACCAGTCTGAGTCTCGGTTTCCTCATCTCTGAAAGGGAGATGCAGATGCCCGCTCGGAGGACAGTGCGGCTAACGCGCCTGGCGTGGCACCTAGTAAGGCTTCACCAAACAGTTTCGTGGTGCTAATTACAGTGTCTCACATCCACGTGAGGACTTCTGTTCTGCTCCGCATGGAGGTGTTACAGTGTCTTCCCGGAGGTGGGGCTGGCGCTATTGCCAGATCTTTCTCTCGCGGGCTTGCCTCCTCGGACTCTGGATGGGGCTGCCTAGGAAGGGCAGTTTGAATGGACCGACGGCCCCTCCTATGACTACAGCTACTGGGACGGGAACCAGCCGGGTGACGGTGTCCACGCGGACCCAGAAGAGGAGGACTGCGTGCAGATATGATACCGGCCCACCAGCGGTGGGTGCCCCTGAGACCAGGGCTCTCGCAGGGGTGCTGGGGAAGTGCCACGGATGGCAGGGAGACTGGCGAATTAGGTGGCTGGGGGCGTCCTTCTCCACAGCGGATACAGTTCATCTTTTTTTTTTTTTT